GAGAGAGAGAGAGAGAGCACAAGCAGGGGGAGCGGCACAGAAAGGGAGAAGCAGACTCCCTGCCAAGCAGGCAGCCTGATGTGGGGCTCGATCCCAGGATCCTGGGATCACCACCTGAGCCGAAGGCAGATGCTTAACCGACTGAGCCACTCAGGCGCCCGATGGACTGTTTTTGATATGTTTATTGTTGATTTGGAGTTTTGTATGAATGAGTTGTCCAGTTGTTACCCCCTTGGGGATTCATTTGTTTTCCTATATTTGGGAGCTAAAGCCTAGGGTTTTAATCATTGGTGGGTTGCCCTGAGGTGGAATTTACTGAACCCAGATACTTTGTGTCTGCCATTTCTGATTCTACCTGTTGGCAGTACATTGCCCCTGTGTGGGCTCCAAGGCAGGGCCCTCCTGGACCTGACGTTACCACCTTCTTTACCCAGTACCTTTGGAATAGCGTACAAGTAGAGTGAGTAGAAGGAGGAACTATATGCCATCATTCATTCATGCATGTATTCTTTTGTTCCTTTATTCACTCATTTATTCACTCACCTTTAAGTTAGTCAATTATAGTTATAACATTATTAGTTATAATGTTACAACTGCCTGGGTTCAAGTCCTGGCCCTGTCACTTTACTGCTGTGAGACTTTAGGCAGGTGTCCTGACTTTCTGGAGCTTCATTTTCTCCATTTGTCACATGGGGGTAACAGCAGTCCTGCCTTCGAAGGGAGAGTGAGGAATAAATGGATCAGAACCTGTAGAACACTTCGGTGATCCCAGCAGAGATCTCTGATCAATGTTAACTAATGTATTGATTACTGTGTCACTCGAAGTGCTTTACATTTATCTCCTATAATTGTTAGAATCCGTTTGGTAGGTGTTGCTCGCATCCCCATTCTATACATTAGGAAATGGGAGGGAAATGGAGGCTCAGACAAGATAAGCAACCGTTCCTAGAGTTACAGAGCTAGAAAATGGTGGAGTCTGAGTTGAGATCCCAGAAAGGGGCTTCTGGGGTCCTTGATTCTAGGTCAGACGTAGATATCCTAGGGGAATGTACTTTTTCAAGAGGGAGAAGGACGGTCTGCAAACTACACAATTTCAGATTGTCGTCGGTGGAGAGAAAATAAGGCAACAGGATATTGAGCACCTGCTGCTCTGGATGATGTGATTGGAGATGTGTGGGAATTGAGCACAATGAGCAGAGGCCAAGCCGTTCTGGAGGTGGTTGGGGAGCTCAGGAGGCCCAAGGCCTGGACACAGTTGGCGTTGATGGAGCTCATCAGGAGTTTAGATTTCCTTGTTAGTTTCTGTTAGTTTCCTGTACTACTGACATTTTGGCTGGGGAATTCTTTGTCCCGGGGACTGTCCTGCACCTCAGAGATTCCGGTTGCAACCCACGGTCCGTTAAACGTTGGCACACGATGGCCCTGCTGCTGTGTCCTGGGGGATGGACCGCAGTGGGCACAAGAGTAGAAGCTGATCCGGATGTGGTCCAGAGAGAGAGGAGGTGGTGATGGTGGTGGCTTGGGTTAGGTGAAGCATGGGGGTTGGTGGGGGGTAGCTGGACTCTTCTTGAAGTTGTTCCCCACTGTTGGACCTGGTTTAGCTAACCTTAACTGCTAACACCATCATGCATTCCTTGAGGGCCTCCAGATGTGAGGCCCCTGGGATGACACATCCTAACGTGTTTTTGCTTTACAGATGAATGAAATTGAAGTATGTCCAGAGTGTTACCTAGCTGCTTGCCAAAAACGAGATAACTGGTTTTGTGAGCCTTGTGTAAGTTGCATTTCTTTTCCTTACTTCATTTTCTGAGCCCCATGCCTTAGATCGCTACCCAAGGCTACTTTGTCCAGGTGGTTTATTCGGTGAAACTTTGGGTGAAGTTTTTTTTTTTTTTTTAAAGATTTTATTTATTATTTGACAGAGAGATAACGAGAGCAGGAACACAAGCAGGGAGAGTGGGAGAGGGAGAAGCAGGCTCCCTGCAGAGCAGGGAGCTCAATGCTGGGCTCGATCCCAGGACCCTGGGATCATGGCCTGAGCCGAAGGCAGACGCTTAACAACTGAGCCACCAAGGTGCCCCATTGGGTGAGGTTTTTAAATGATTTTTGTAGTGATAAAGTTATGGCAGAATGTAAGTGATCCAGATAGAATAAACCTCTGGGGCTAAAAATTATGTGCCAAAGGGAGCACTGTGACTTTCTGGGTTTATTAACTCTGGGCGGGCAAGAAGGAGCTCATCAGGGAGGGGGCGCCCCTCGGTAATGCAGATAGCGGGAAGAGAGTGCAGTGAGTGTGTTCTTTTGGATCTGTGTTGAGAGGTTTGGAAAACCTCTCTGGATTGCCTCCATGGTCTCTCCAACTTGGTGGTTTGGGGTAGGGGTTGGGGAGAGAAAAATCACCCTGTTTTCCTCATGGATCTGCATTTTCCAAACTGGTGTTCTGCAGAGAAGTGTGTTCTTGGGGTGGCCTCATGGGAGGGTGGGAGGAGAGTAGGGGTGGAGCTTACTGGGAGGGAAGATGGGGGCCAGTAAAGTGGAAAAGTAGAACATAGTTTATGTCTCTTCTGCCTTTGGCAATAAACACCTGCATAATTAAGGCTCTGGGCAGCCTCAATAAAGGACAAAGGTGGCTAATTCTACCCCTTGTTACCTGCCAGTTATAATGCACATTTAATTCCCCAACTTAACGGAGGGTGTAGGCATTGGCTGTCTCCATGTTGCAGGGGAAGTAGACCCTCTTGCTCACGGCCACCCAGGTAATAGCATTAGAGCCAGGGTCCAAGCCTGGTCTTGTCGGTGCTCCGTCCTTCTGTCTTGTCGTTCACCCTCAGAACCAGCTTTGCCTGGGGCCTACTGGCCTCACGCCCTCCTAGGTGAGCCCACTTGGGAGACCCTGCCTGGAACTGTTCTCATTTAGTTGGTGGCCTTGTTGTCTCGCCACACACCAAGCTTCATATGCGTGTCTTGCTGTCAAATACATACAAACTCTGGATTTTGTTTTTCTGTTCCTAGAGCAATCCACATCCTTTGGTCTGGGCAAAACTGAAGGGGTTTCCATTCTGGCCTGCAAAAGCTCTGCGGGATAAAGATGGGCAGGTTGATGCTCGTTTCTTTGGACAACATGACAGGTGGGAGTTCAAACTGGCTGCAAACGTATAGCGTTAACTGCACCTTTGATACTATGATGGATGCAAGCAGGGGCAGAGTATTATTGTGTTATTTATTGTCATGACACCAACCAGTGATCTTGTGGTTAAAAATACAGTCCTGGGCTGTGTTAAGCCTGATAATGTGTGGGCTTCCGTGTTTTCAGGTATGTTTAAGAGAAGAATCTTGCTTTCGTAGTTTTGTTGATGAAACTGGCACCATAGCTATTTTAAGTGCTGCTTGTTCTTTTTTGGATTTTCTAGAGCAAATTAAACTGCCGTGCAAATTGCTTTTCAAAATAATGCTTTCAGAGATCAGAAGTATTTCCCCAGATTGCCAGTAAATGAATCTCTTATCATTGTGCTGGGCGGTTCCCTCCTGTTGCCTTTTCTCTGAAGCTAAAATAGGAAATTATAAGAGGTGGCTGTTTTAACAGGTGGGAGCCCTCCCTGCCAGCCTTTCTACCCTCCCCTTTCCCTTGCTCTCAGGGAAGTGAATTGTTCCAGCTCTTAGCAGTTTCTGCTCCTACATGCTTGTGAACAACAGGTAGACCCAGATGAGCCGTGGTTAATATCTCAGTTCTCTTTTAGCAAGCTGTGTTGTGATTAAACGAGGCAAAAACCTTTCGAAGCCCTACCAAGTAGTTTGAAAAGTGTTTGTGTTGGGGAGAATACTTAAAAAACGTACCCTAAAAATTATATACAGCCATAGAATATACAGAAAATACAGTGTAGAATTTCAAACACTGGAATCCGAACTGTTACTCTGTTCAGTTTTGCTTGTCTTCCAAATAAAAAAAACCCAAAGAGTGAATTTTGCTAGAAATCCATTGTCTGGAGGCAAAATGGGAATTCGCTGAGAGGGTCCTGTTTTTTTGTTTTTTTTTTTTTAAGAGTTTATTTATTCATTTGAGACACAGAGATACAGAGAGAGTGTGTGCATGAGCAGGGGGAGAGGCAGAGGGAGAGGGAGAAGCAGGCTTCCCGCTGAGCCAGGAGCCTGATGTGGGTCTCGATCCCAGGACCCTGGGATCATGACCTGAGCCGAAGGCAGACGCTTAACCATCTGAGCCACCCAGGCGCCCGGGTTTGATAGAAGTATTTTGCTTTGTTTGATTTTGACCACTTTGCTTGGAGATCTTTTGTTGCCTGCTGTGGGCCAGGTCATGTGCTGGTTGCTGGGGATTTGGGGGTGAGCAGGCAGACACTGTCCCCAACCATCTGAAGGCTGGCATCCTAGTGGGGAAGACAGATAATACACAAGTAAACATACAGGCGAGATGATCTCAGATCAGGAGGTAATGGCCAGGATTGAGTGAAGATCTGGGTGGAGGGACAGACAGAGCCATCCTGCTGTGCCTGGGAGAAGCAGGAGCTCGGGGTGATTTGGACAGGGAGAGTGGGGGAGGCTGGTAAGAGATGGGTGGGGGAGGGGCAGGGCCCCAAGCACACAGGCTGTGGTCAGAGTCTGCCTTTTCTTTGAAGAGCAGGAGGAATTAGTATCCGGTTGTGCATCTTCCTGCTGCTTCATTATAGCAGGGCAAGTGTTAGCCATCTTGATGATTTGGGATTATTCTCGTTCTGTAATATGACCCAGTGTGGATATGTTTAGGACATAGGTGGGTGGGGGAAATCAGTGCTTGCCCCCATGCACCAAATATTCTCAGACTCTTAGCATCTTTGATTCTGCTCTCAGCTTAGCCTATTCTGCATGGACGTCCTCCTGCATATCAGCTACTGAAGGTGGCTTAGGGGACTTGAGCTCTGCTAGTCCTAGTCCGAGGCCATTTCCCCGGAACTTGCTGGTATAGGTTGGTTCTAGGTAGGAACTGTTGCGGAAGCCGGCACCCCGCCTCCCCCATCATTTGTGAAAAAGACGGCAGCCCAAGTCTGATGCCCGTGAGGTTTGCCTAACCCTCTCAGTGTCTTCTGCTCCCTTGGAGGGAACGTGCTGAACTCTTGGCTCATTTTGGGTGAGGGGAGCCCCTTGGCGTGGTTAAGGACACCGCATGGTGGTGGGGAGTAGGTGGTGGAGCCGCAGAACCTTTGGAGTTCTCGGGATGAGGCCACTGAAGTCCCTTCCTCCCAGGAGATGTTCTTCAAGCAGAGCTGGTCAGACCCAGCAGCACAACGTGGAGGCTAAAGAGATGGGCTAGGCTGTCCCTTTCTCACGGAGAAACTTTGGGGTTGTGGAGCAGAGCATAAGCCTGGACACATGTAAGCCACATTGGTTAGGAGAGGAGAATAAGAAATGGCGCAGCCTGTTACGTCTTCATCGTCTGGTTAATAAAGACTAGAGCGAGCCCGGGGAGGTGCTCCTACAGATCAAGTCATGTTCTGAAGAGTCTTGTCGTGTGCTTTTTGTCCTTGAAAAATTTTTGCTTTTTGGGGGTTTGGTTTCATAGACCTACACACACACACACGTACATGATACCATATAAAAATCCGGGAAATATTTTATCAAATGTCTGCAGAGCTGCAGAGGAGCGAGCTGGCGTGAATGGAGTGCCTTTTATGCGGGAGGCATTGTTCTAAGTGCTTTTTGCAGAAGCTGCTTTATTCTCATTTTACTGAGAAGGAAACTTGAGGCCCAGCGTGGGGAGTAGCTCAGCTGTGTGACTCTGGGGCCTCTCATAACATTGCCCCCAGAGACTTTATTTTTGTTAAGCAAATCTAACTTCCCTTTAACTCTGTCCTGGGCCTGCTCTAAGGAAAGGGAATACTTTCCTGAAATCAGTTGGCAGACACCTTCATGGAAGGCAGTTTAGACCCTGGCAGGAAACGGTTAAGGCCCCGACCCCAGGCAGAGGTGTGGGGGGAACACAGTCACAGTGGCCGGCTGCATGCTGGGCTCCCGGTGCTCTGGGGACTGGCCACCTGGCCGAGGTGCATTTCATTTGTTCCCCGTGACCCTGCTCCAGGGAGGGGCTCATCCTCCACCTTACCAAGATGACGGAGCCGAGGCCGGCTTGGGGAGGGGGAGTCGTTTGTCCAGGGGCAGCTGGGGGATCCCGGCTTCTCCTCCGAGCTGTCCTGTCTAGTCCAGACTCCTGCTCACCCAGTTTTAACAGCCACAGACTTTTACCCACGGGGCATCTGGCTCCTGCTCTGCCTCATTCTGTTTGGCAGCAGATGTGGTTCCTCAGGTCTCTGCGGGATGACAGCAGTGAGTTGGGGTGGATGAGAAGCTGGTAATTTGCAGCACGCTGAGAGAGCAGTTAGATATTTTTGGGGTGTTCGGTTTTAGTCTGTGTCACGATCTAGTTATCACCGGGAGTGGCAAACCTCCCCAGTCCGTGCCCTGAATTCCACCCCATGCACATACTTGACTTTTCCTGGGCTGCTTTCTCTTCAAAATAGGAACGAGCCGTTAACACTTGGGTAGAATGCAGTATAAGCAGTCCATATTTTTTGCTTCTCTTTAAAATGCTGGGAGACTCCGCAGCAGTGGGGCGGGGGTGGGGGAGGGTCCAGATTCCTGCACGGGCACGTGTGAGGTTCCCCAGTAGACAGTGCTTGTGTTGGACTGTTCTATCTCCCCACCGTCCACTTTGCTCCCCATTGCTTTGTGTCTGGCGTGAGTTTACGGTCTGTGAAATCCTAAAGGCCTCCCTGGAAAAAGCTCATTCTCCCCGAATTCCCAGCTACAAACGGGTTCGGGTTCGAGGCCGGGGAATCAAATGCCACACAGTCTATCCTCCAGCTCTCGCTTGGGCTCAGCCCCCACCCGGAGCAGTGGTAGGGTTATACTGCCATCTGCCTGCAGCCACTCGGCCACTGATTCCAGGAAAGCAGCTCTTGTTCTCGTGAAGGCTCTGCAGAGCATACTGGCTTGTGGGGGGTTGAAGGCAGGAAGACAAAAGCAGTCGGGAATGGAAGGTGGAGGCTATTCCTTGCTTATTTTCCACATGAATTCTCCCCTGTTTGAAGCCGTGCATCTCATTGCAGGGTTATGGTTTTCTTTTCTTTTTTTTTTTTAAAGGTTTTTTATTTTTTATTTTTTTTTAAAGACTTTATTTATTTGACAGAGACCGCGAGAGCAGGAACACAAGCAGGGGGAGTGGGAGAGGGAGAAGCAGGCT